CAAAATTCTAATAAACTTATAAAATTATGAATTGTTAGGTCAAGTTTGTTCACAAAATTTATCAAACTTGTCGAAACTTTCTCGGCGAAATAGATTCGTGCTTCTATTCTCTGTTTGCTTTTTGCTGGCGTTCCTCGAACATCGGAGGATTAGTTAGATTTAAGATCCGATTAAATTTCATTATCGGAGCTTCATACTTCTTAAGGCTTCACGTTTGATAAAAAGTGGGTGCCGGAGCTGCTTGATGAGCTTCTCGCGTGGATGGTAGAGGCTTTTTACGAACTCTACACCAAACTAAACCAAAAGCAAAGAAAAGCAAGGAAGGGCGTGGCCTCCATAACAAGATGTTAACTTTGCATATATTGGTGTTTAATTAATTCTTGCAACATGGTGCACTTAATTAATTAATATCAGGCACCTACGACTTGCCTCTTAATTAGTCAGATAAGTGAAGTATATCAAATACATCCATTGTTCCAGAAGCAAGGTTTTTATCATGCAGCCACTTATATCATAATTTCAAAACGCCAAACCTAGAAGCCAAAGATAGAGATATTGGGCGCAGCGACACCTTTGTCGGGAAGGAGAGAAACCCTAGCGGATCCCACTAGGCGTGCCACTTGACGAATGATGGATCAGCACCAATGTATCGGGTCGGTTGCTCCGTATGCCATGGCGGTGTTGAAGTTCTAATACCTGCAAAAGAGGGTCTTGGGGTCTCCCGAGGGTAGACACTCTGATGCTTAAGTCAGTAAAACTAATTATGATAAGGGTACGAATTGTGGTGCGTAGAGCGTATTTTTAACCGTGAAAGGTTGATCCCTATTTATAGAACTAGGTTATGGAACCCTTTCTTGGTTAAAAAAAAAGTAATTAAGAACAGACCTAGAAGCTTCCAGAAGCCGGTTAGACCTTTTACTGAACTTGGGCCGGCTTAGTCGCGGGCCGTACTAATTTGGACTCGTCAGTATGTTATAGCCTTCAGAGGCATTTGGATTATGTTGCATCAAGTAGAATGAAATGCTTTAAGTCATACAAAACTTAAATTTGCATACTCCCTGGTGAGGCCTGAGAGATTGTTCAGTCTCACTCCAGAAAATAAATACATAATGCTATGAATCTTTCTCCATTGTTAGTTCAGATGTCCGATTGCTGTAATTTCTTGAATTCGCATGCTTACCGTATATTTAGCAACATGATCGGTACATATATCTAGTTAATTAAAAGTAGTCCACGGTTCCTTCACGATGCTTTAGTCGGGCATTTTCTTGTCGCAAAATTGCCATCTCTTTGTTCACATTTGCCTCCAAGACCAAAGAATTCTGATAGTCGAGATCATATTGCTGAAGGCGGTGTTGATACCCTTCTTTTTTCTGCTTGAACCTCCGTACAAGTCGAGAGTGAATTTGCACATTGTATGCTTGGACAACGTCTACAATTCCTTCTCGAGGGTCCTCACAGCAAAAATATTGTGGATATTCTCCAACTATCTCATTGAGGTAGAAACCATGGCATACATTGGGAAATTTCTTGCTTGGTTTTCGTCCAAGATAATCAGATGCACTTGGTGAACAAAGTATAATTCCTAGCATAAGACGCGAAGTAAAATCAAAAGGATTGAATAACATAAAAACAAAAGCATCAACAGATGCTTAAGTAAGATGTTCACATTCACCGCTATGGGCAGTGGTACAAAAGTTCTCAAAATTAGGAAGGAGTCTATTACAAGGAGGATGAATTCATACAGCAGTTTGAGAACGAGAGGCGTTCCCTGGGTAGTTTTCAGACGTTCCCTCGATATGGGAATCTTTTTCCTTGGCTACACCAGTATTCCCCATGACCGGAGGGTCTTGGTCCTTAACATGGGAATTGCCTATGTCGTCCTCCTGAACAGTCTCATCTTCATCTTCCTCGAGATTGATGCCAAAGTACTCGTTGGAAACCTCAGGTATTGCCAATTCCTCACCGGGACCCCTCGTGAAAACAGCAGCCACATCCCCGGGAAATGAGATAATGTTCTCAAGAGCACTTATCTTGGACAGAGCCGCACACAAGGGCTCCCACAGGAGTAGCTGATCTGTCGATAGCTTGCAAAGACCCTAGACCAACGCCTCATACATGGTCTACTTGGGGTTTTCCTTCAAAAATTGCTTAAGCCACTTAGCTTTAACAGGCTTTTTTTGACTTCAGTCTTTTCAAGCCCTCGATAGCAACTGCATGACCTCCATAAGCTATCGAGGCAGCGTTAATCTCCTCCACAGCAACAGTCATCCCCCTTGAGGATAGTATCCTCCACCAAAACGCGGTGCACCATTTGTTGAGGTCCTCCTTGGAGATGTGCAGCTCACAATACTCTTGAAGTTTTTTCTTCAATTCTTCAAGTTGGATTTGGACCGAGGCAAGCTCTAATTCCTTGGCCTGCAGCTGCTGGTTCTTCTCTTTGAAAGCCTGCTTCTCGATCAACGCTTGGTCTCTCTCAGATCGAGCTTTTGCCAGTTCTTGCCTTAGGTCCCTGGACCTCTTGGCATGGTTCATCATAACAGCATTCATATGTGGAAACCAAACGTAGAAAAGATATACATCTATGCTAATATATGGAGATAAACGAATATGGATTGAGATATTTACCAATTTTAATCCATCTGCCTCGGTTAGGTTGGCAGCAAACTTTTCCAGCATGGGGCACTCAATGGTGGGTAGATTGTCGAAGGTATGAACCGCTAGAGAAGGGGCTCCGGTAGGTATCTCAAGGGGGCTGGATGGTAACATTCCCCTCAAAAAGGCCTTTTCCCATCTCGACAGATGAAGGTTGAGTGCCTGGCCCAGTTTCCTTCTCTACAGGTGTCTCCTTCTCGGTTAAAGAGGGAATTGTCTTTTCACCCTCCTCTGTTGCTTCAATTTGCTTCGAGGAAAAAACATCGGTTTTAGACTTCTTTGTAGATGGTCCCTTCTCGGACTCCCTTGCAACAGCCCTCTTCTTCTTCTTCTTTGTCATCTCTGCTATGGATTTTTTCATAGAGGTATCATCATATGAGATTACAACATTAAAAGGGTTTGTGTCGGCATATAATCCGGAACCGGCACTTCCCGATGACATGAACTAAACGTGGAGATATAATATCGAGATTAGTACCTTTCTTTTCCTCTAGGGGAGCATTGAGGGTTTTATCTACTTCTAGCTCCTCGACTGGCATGACAGGAACGAAATGCTACGCAGCGCCATATTCGATTATCTTGGGGTACTTCTCGAGTTTCTTGAAATCGCTGTCAAATTCTTTGATCTTTTCTTCTTCCTCCTTTGTCCACTCGTCTTTTACTGTCTTGAAACCTTCAGTTTCTCAATGATTCCAAGCCACACAATACTTTTTGGGTGTTTTTACATGCATAAGATTGGGTTTCCATATGGGAGACCCACCATAAGCCTCTACTACCTTTTGGGCACCTGACGCAAGGTTTCTTTTTACCATATACCAATCCTGAAAGGTTGTGGATGGAGTCGACACTCTAAAGAAATACCTCCACAATATCAAACAAGGTTTCCATTTGACTCGGTGGCATTTCTTCACGAAACCGAGAACGTAGGTTATGAGGTTTGGGGAAAATCGAGCTAGTGGAATTTTATAGTATTGTACAATCTCCCAAACAAAGGAAAAAGGGGGAATCTCAACCCTAGAAACATAAAACGGTCGTAAATGGTAATTTTTCCTTCTGGAAAAGTATTGGCTCTCTCAGTTCCTAGGGGAGCTCTCATTTCTACATCCTGGGGCAGGTCGTATCTCCTTCTTATCGATTTCAACTTCTCATCGGAATCTATGGTGGAAGCGAAATCATCTACGGATTTCTGGTCTAGGTTCCTAGCCATACTTCTCTACTCGCAACGATATCTAAATCTATGCTATGAATTCAGAATAAAACAGAGTTGGGAATCTGAGTATTTACTGGGGGAAAAAGAATCCACTCGCCTTTTGAGTTATAGCCACCCAGGGTTTTAACGAATTCCGGCGGCTTCTGCAAATCGTTACAGGAACAACAGCAATCACAGGAGCCTTTGCTGGATTTACGGCAAAGAATGGCACTTTTCAAGATGGCTTCTTCTGGAAAATTTCAACAGGCTCCTTAAATGATGCCGGAGTCAGCACAGATGCCAGGGCAGTAAAAGCTTTTTTGGAATTTTTAGGTCTGAAAGGAAAGAGTGTTATTTGGGACGTCTCCTCTGTAGATATAAAAAGGAACAATAGAACCCACGATCCTGCCATTTTGACTAATTTCGAGGTAGTAATTATGGTTGATGCCATCGTTTGGAAATCATACCGAGTAATGGGGCATGTCTGCTGCAATTTAGGCGGGATTTCAATTCGGGTCACCTTCCAGGGTCGGATCATGACCCGCTGGTCACTCCCTCGGGCTTACTCGATACAATGTAGCCCAAAGGTTGTCTACTCAACTTGGGTCGAGTCCAGGTTAGTTTTATTTCATGTCAAGTCTTGTTCATTTCATATAACTAACACTTGACAGGGTCACTTGACGAGTCCATATCCGTCGAGGATTATTGGACTGGTCCATCCGCCAATTATGGTCCAACCGACCTTAGTAGAGGCAGTTCTAGAACATGAAACCTAATGGGATTCGGCTTTCATCAAGGTAATTCCATGCCTAGAAATAGGGTTGGTCACACCACAATACGGGTACGCTATCTCTAGCATAAAACACTACTCATACACGTTTCTTAAATCCTTTTGCTAACTTAAGCATCAGAGTGTCTACCCTCAGGAGACACCCGAGCCCTCTTTTGCAAGAAACCCTAATCAGAGTTCCACTGTTGAACCGGAGGAGAAAATCTAGGCTTCGCATACAAGGTAGAGCATTTCATAGACTACCTAGTGGTTGGTGATCTCTCATATTTTTTCTGTGTATCTTTTGTTTCCATAATGAAAGACATGAGGAGCATTACGCTAAAGATTGACGTCTGGAAACCAAAAATTAAAATAAAGCTAGTAGATATGACTCCCAATCATTTGTCATCTCAAAGAATTCTATTATTCAAAAAAGAGGTTGTGGGATACCTTGATGAGGCAAAATCCATTAAGCTAAAGCTCACGAGCGGACCTAAACAACTGCGGGTTGTCACCATTGTGGGTATGCCCGGCCAAGGTAAGACTACCTTGGCTGCGAAAGTTTACAATGATCCTTCTGTTGTGTGCCATTTTTCTATTCGTGCACATATGGCTATGTCAAAAATATTTGACAAAAGGAGAGTCCTCCTCGACCTCTTAGGTCAAATTGATCCCAAAAAATGTTCTAGGACTACTTCTGATCAGGATTTAGTCCAGAATCTGTGGCGCAGTTTAAAAGGAAGGTCATATCTTATCTTCTTGGATGATGGATGGGATGTTGAAGCCTGGAGCAGCTTAAAAGAAGCATTTCCTGAGGATCACGCGGCTAGCAGAATTATCACGACAAGCTGTAAACAATATCTTGCTCCCAATGAAGATCTTCACGTACTCAGACCATTGAATGAAGAAGAGAGCCTAGACTTATTGCAGAGACAGTTACTTGGAGGAATTGGTTGGCCCTGGATTACGTGATCTTGGGAAACAAATTGCTCGAATATGCAAGGGACTACCTCTAACCATTTCTATTAGGCGTTCTAGCCTGTACAAAGCCAGCGGGTTGGAAGAAGATTTTGTTTGGTTTAAGATCACACAATCTTTCGAGCATCGAACACTGCTGGAAAACTTTGGAGTTGAGCTACAACCATTTGCCAGAGCATTTAAGAGCCTGATTCGTCTATTTTGTGGCCTTCCAAGAAGATGAAGAGGTTTCAGCTGGGAGGTTGATTCGTCTATGGATAGCTAAAGGATTTGTTCGAAAAGATAATATGAAGCAGATCGAAAGTGTTGCTGGAGACTACCTGAATGAATTGATTGATAGAAGCCTACTTACGGTTGCTACAACAAAATCCATTGGTTGAGTGTAAACGTGTCGCATTCATGATTTGCTTCATGAATTTTGTTTGAAGAAAGCTCGAGATGAAGGATTTGCCTCTATCATGGGAAGAGATGTTATGCCCCTGGAATTTCATACGACACAAGGCCTACGGAGGTTATGCATTTGCTCTAGCACAAAACATCTGATAAGGTCCAGCAAACTTTTTCCACTTCTGCGTTCTCTGTGCTTTAGCTATTATGAGTGCCGAGTGCTACAATATTTAACCCTTATAAGCGATATACTAGTAAGAAGATTCTTGTAGGGGCCGAAACTGCAATTTACACAAAATCATTACCGTAACAGTGTCACCAACTAATAAGGTGTGTTCCTGCGAACACTTTTCCATAATTGCAATTCGGTCCACGCCCCAAAAGATGCGTGACTCACCGAACCGCACTATTTCTTCGTCTATAAAAGGTCCCTCTCATGCTGAAACCAATGGTGTCCAACCTTCTCTGTTCCATCACTTCTAAAGCTACACATTACAATTGAGTAATTTTACTCTTTATCATCAACCCTTTTCTTTTAATGACATTTGGAAGATCCCAGAAAATAAAAGAATGGCTCAGAAAAGCAAGATTCTGATCATCGGCGGAACAGGGTACATTGGCAAGTTCGTTGTCGAGGCAAGCTTGAAAGAAGGCCATCCAACCTCTGTTTTGGTTAGGGAAAGCCCCGTTTCTGATCCTGTTAAGGGATAACTGGTCGAAACTTTCAAGACTTTGTCAGTAATTTTACTTCTGTGTTTCTCTACATGAACTCTGTTCTGTTGATTTCGCAATTGATTGTAATTTTTTATTTTGGGTTTTCTCTGTTTGGTGCGGGGTGATTTGTACGATCATGGTAGCTTGGTGAAAGCCATAAAAGAGGTTGATGTGGTTATATCAACTGTTGGCCACCAACAATTGAATGATCAGACCAAGATCCTTGATGCAATCAAAGAAGCCGGAAGTGTTAGGGTATAAATTTGTTCATCTTCCTGCTAATTTTCTACTTAATTACCATATCATTTCACATATGAATTGGGTTCACTTCAAATTCCAATTGGGCTAATAATCTTTGGGTCAATAGTCAGTACTTTAATCTGTTCATCGGTTAATAAGCATTCATAAGTCCTCAAACACATTTCGTGAATTTTTCTTTTTACCAGAAATTCTACCCATCAGAATTTGGGATTGATGTGGATCGCCACCATGCAGTTGAGCCAGCCAAATCCACATTTGGTGGAAAGTCTCAATTTCGTAGAGCGATTGAAGCAGCAGGAATTCCGCACACATATCTTGTATCCAATGCTTTTGCAGGTTATTTTCTCCCAACTCTGGTCCAACCAGGCGCCACTGCTCCACCCCGCAATAAAGTTGTGATCTTGGGAGATGGAAATGCCAACGCCGTTTTCAATGAAGAACATGATATTGGTACATTTACCATCAAATCTGTGGATGACCCGAGGACACTGAACAAGATTGTGTACATCAGGCCTTCCAAAAACGCTGTGTCGTTCAATGAGATTGTGGCAATCTGGGAGAAGAAGATTGGCAAAACTCTGGAGAAAGAATATGTTCCTGAGGAACAACTTCTGAAACAAATTCAAGGTTCTCAATACTGAGCAAGATTAACAAATTACCTTGTGTTAATTTTCTTTTTTTCTTCAAACTTTTTTTTCTGATTAATAATGTATTTGTTGTTTATGCAGAGTCACCAATTCCAGGGAACGTAATATTATCAATCAACCATGCAATTCTGGTGAAGGGTGACACGACCAACTTTGAAATCGAGCCATCTTTTGGTGTGGAGGCTTCTGAGCTTTATTTGCAAATTATCTGGTACACCCGGGGGCACCGTGTACTCCTCTGTGCGTGTACTTTACTCTCTTAAAATAGTGTGAGTCTGCTAGATAATGCAACTTTCTTCTTCTTTTTTTTTTAAACGCGACATATATAAATTACCGAATTCATTCAAATTTTGAAAATTTTGTGATAGAGTATTATTGTTGAGCGACGGCCTGCAGCGATCGAGGCAATGAGGCGGAAATGGGAGTCGGCAATCGAGGCGTTGAGGTGGACACGGCCGGCAGCAATCGAGTAGTTGAGACGGCAATGGCGTTCAGCGGTCGAGGAAAGGCTCCGATTCCACCAGAGTGGCGAAACGATGATTGGATCGACGATATGCTGAGTTCAGATCGAGCGATGAGTTATCTCGTTGAGGATTCCGGCTTGATGAATGCGGAATATAGTGGTAGCAAATCCATCGAACAATCTTACTGTACCAGCAAATCAACGCAAGGTCACAGTTCTGTTGTTGATCCGCTGCAATCAGGTTTGTGTAGGTTTCGGAGTGTACTATTTGTGAGAAAAAAATCAATCTAGTTGTTTCATTTTATTTTTCTTGATTTATCTTTTGATAGTTTTTGTTAATTGTATGAAGTGGATGACCAGTTATACTGTGTTGGATATCATTTGTTATTTAGACGGATATGCAGATATGATTTTTGTTAATTGTAGTAAACATGGATAGATGATGCGAAGTACTGATTATGAAACTTTTGTTTGTGTTTTACTGGTTTTCCTACTCGTTTTGTATTGGTTTTCCAACTTGTATGAAATTTATATGAATATCCAACTTGTTTATACTGCATATCCAACTTGTTTGTACTGGATATCCAGCTTATGTGTACTGGTTATCCAACAGATTTACATGTATATCCAAATTTTATTTGCTGGATATCCGACTGATTTGTATTGGATATCTAACATTTTTTAGTTATTTATATTGAATTGGTGTATCTAAGATTTTTTTTAAGTTTTTATTTTTTTGTTTGTCCCATTTTTTGTAAAAGATAACCATATCAATCCATTCCATGTAAAAACGTGTGGCTCTGTAACTAACCATTAGATCATGATGTACTCTGCACAAACATCAGACTTTTCAGTTTTTTTTTTTTATTTTTTATTTTTACTCCCTCAATCTTTTAAATTCTATTTAATTACAAAACGTGTAGTTTTTCAGTTATACACAGTAACATGCTCAACACTATGGATAACCAGCATTGACACTGTGGATAACCAGTGTGCAAACTATGGATAACAAGTTAAACATAGTTGGATTACCAGTGTTGACACTATGGACAAGTATTTTTCATAAAGAATAAAAACAAAGTAAAAATTCAAATAAGCATTACAAACCGTTTGGATAATTAGTACTAACACATTGGGAAAGTAAATTATATTAAAATATCACAAGTAGTATCAAATGTTAGGATAAGTAGTTGAGACCATTTTAGATAATCAGTGCAAACCAGTTTGAAAGTCATTAGAAAATGACTAGATAACCATTATTAACCTGTTGCATAGTCATTGTTGACAACGTGGACTATCATTTTTTTCCTTTCATATTTTTCTCGGATATCCTTGTCTGTATTTTTTACATTGGTTATCCAGCTGCCCCTCATTCATTTTTTGTTCTCCATCATTTGGCAAACTGCCCCTCATTCAATTAAATACTATTTATGAAATTTACCATGTTCGGCATAGGGGCGGCACAGCCGCAAAAAGCGGCGCAGCCGCGGGCACCGGTGCAGCCGCGGGCACCGGCGCAGTCGGGTCGTTTAGTTTATCGCGGGGGATTTATACAAGTATTTAAATTCTATGTAATTACAAAACGTGTGGCTTTTCAGTTATACACACTAACCAGCTACACACTATGGACAACCAGTGTTCACAATGTGGATAACCAGTGTTGGCATTATGGATAATTAATTATACACAGTTAGATAACCAGTATTGACAATATGGATAATTAATTATACACAATTGAACGTACCTTATTTCCATTATTTGGCAACTGCCCTTCATTCATTTTTTGTTCTCCATCATTTGGCAAAATGCCCCTCATTCAATTAAATACTATTTATGAAATTTGCCGTGTTCGACAGGGGGGGCAGTGCAGCCGCGGGCACCGGCACAACCGGGTCGTTTAGTTTATCACGGAGGGATTTATACAAGTAATTTGTGTTTCCTCTTAATGCAATAACACACTCTTCCTTACACACACACAAAAAAAGGATTACCTTAGATACATTGCCATGTTCAGCAGGGCGGCGCAGCCGGGGCAGGTTGGTGAGTTGCGATTCCGGAGCCGCGGGAGTCATTTAGTTTATCATGGGGGGCGAAGCCCCCCAATTAAAATGCCCTAAAATGGAGGTTTTCCGTCGACTTTGTGTAATTTTGTGGTAGTGGTCAATTTTGTATTTGCCCTAAAATGGAGAGTTTTCGTCGACTGTGTGTTTGTGCGTCAGGATGAAAACAATAAAATGGATGAAAACAATTTTGTTCGTGCATTTATTGTAAAGGTGAAAACAGTTGAGCGCATGTAACGCGTGTGTTTAGTGGGGGGTATACGGTGTACCCGGGTGCACTTGATACGGACTCTACATTGAGAAACTTGCCTGAATTCCCTAAGTCTTCATAGTTTTTTTTTTTTTCCTACAGAAGAAACGTTGAGCCTAATGTTTTAGGTGTTCGCCTCCTCTTTGTAACAAATAAATATATAAAAACATGTTCCTGTTTGATAATTTTGCCATTTTGAGATTACAATTAATATGTGTAACTTGTTCTGTTTGGGGTATTTATAAAAATTGAAAATTCAAGTACCAATCCAATATGTACCAATGTTGTTAATTAATCCAAAGATTGAGAGAACAATTCTGAATAGTAATCACCTGTAAACATTAAGGAAAATTACACTTTTCACTCTATAGATTCTTTTGTACTTCTCATCAAGCTAGCATAGATTAAGGCGCCCAAGAACCACCTTCTCTGGTTTCACCAAAGGGAAAAAAACGAAAAGAAAAAGGTTCTCTCCATAATAGATCCGCCTCTTTAAGTTTGCTGGCATTTTTTCGAAAATATACAAATTCGTAAGACCTCAAGTTATAACGAAAATCTTTAACTCATAAATATATTATGATAATAATCATTCAATAAAGCAAACTGGCCTGAAATACAAGTACTTGATTTGTTCCCTTTTCTATGAATAAACTAAATAGAAAATTAAATACTTTTTGTTATGTAAAGTTAAGGCTTTAATTAATTAAAACAATAAAAGGGTATAATAGTTGTTTTGGATAAATATCCGAAAATTGAGAATATGTGTGAGGTAGAATACTCCGTGATTTTTTCTTCCTTTTGTTTCAATAAAAACAACCTTCATTTTAGGGAAAAAAAAGAATTGAAGAAACCTTTCCTCGAAACTCATGGTCTATGAATAGGTTTAATATTTGAATGAAATACATTTCAAATCATATCATATACTCTCTCTGTTCCAAAATTATTGTCCAATTTGAGATTTCACTTTTAGTACAATTTGGACTAAAATGAAAACTCAAACTGGACAATAATTATGGGACGGAGGGAGTATTGTATTCTCGAATGAGCGGAACCCGTTTTATAGTGTATGTGCAGATTACAAATACGATTATGGCCAGGCTTGGGTGGATATTGACGATCAAATTCACCAGACATGCATAACACCGGTAAATACAAGGTTACAATTATTACTTTTACCTTTAACAGTTACTACTTACATTGAATATTGATGATCACCAGAAATCGGTCATAACGTTAAAAACTAGATAACTACAGTCAATGCTGTAAATAAAATAATTAAAAACACCGAAATTCACATGGAAACAGTAATTAGAGGGAAATATTACTAAATTAAAACAATAAAATTTCAATACATGTGTGAAGAAATTTTTATGATCACTCAAATTTTCTGCCCACTACACTAGAATATGATCTTTATAGTTGAACACTCAAAATTTTACCCTTATTTTACTTCACTCGTCTTCGTAGACTAATTACAGAGCATATAAAACTCACTCACATGCTATTAGTTGCTCCGAAGAGCTGTATTGTTTTGCTTTCTTCGCTCTGCGCTTCCAAATATTGAAGCTCAAGGCCTCACCGATTTTCATTTAATATGTAAATACTACTAGTATGTTGCGAGATAAACGTGAGCACCAAAGATAAGGTAGTTGGACATTCATGGGGGAGGGTGGTGCTGGGGGGCTGACGGTCCCCTCTCGTACTACTCCAACATTCTCTGTTCCGCACGTTTAAATCATATATTGAATTGATTAACTTCACTCTTTATCAGCCCCTTTTGAGGCATTCGAACGATCCCCTGAAAAAAAATATAAAAAAAAAAAAAGAAAAAATGACCCGGAAAAGCAAGATTCTGATAATTGGTGAAACAGGGTACCTTGGCAAAGTTCGTAGTGGAGGCGAGCTTGAAAGAAGGCCATCCGACCAGTGTTGTGGTGAGGGAAAGCACCTTTTTCTGATCCTATTAAAGCAAAACTTGTCGAAACTTTCAAGACTTCCGGGGCCACTTTGGTTTATGTCAGTAATTAATTTTACTTCTCCGCCTCTCTGCTGGAACAACCCTTCTTTTCAACTTTTGGAACTGCATTGTATTTTCGGATTGAAAGTTGTTTTTGATTTTGGGTTTTCTCTGTTGGTTGCAGGGTGACTTGTAGGATCATGGTAGCTTGGTGAAAGCCATAAAAGAGGTTGATGTGGTGATGATATCAACTGTTGGCCACCAATAGTTGAATGATCAGACCAAGATCCCTTGATGCCATCAAAGAAGCTGGAAATGTTTAAGGTTTCAATTTGTTCACCTTCACATATGAATTTGGTTGTAGTGCTACTTTTTGACGGGAATGGCCACCCCAAACATCAATTGGTCAAATAGTTTTTGGGACACACTCATTTATCAGGTTCACCACTTAAACATTCATAAATACTCAAAACATGTTTCTTAGATTCTTTCTACCAGAAATCCTATCTTTCAGAATTTGGGATGGATAAGGACCGCCACCATGCAAAACTCTGGAGAAAGGATATGTTCCTGATTAACAACTTCTTAAACAAATTCAAGGTCCTCAATACTGAGCAACATTAACAAATTACCTTGTGTTATTGGAAAATCATTTAAGTTTTAGTACAAACTGATTACAGTTTGATGATTTTGCATTTTTGTGCTTATTATTATATAATGTTAAATATTGGTAAAGTTCAAACATATGAGAGATGCTGGCGGAGCTTCGTGTCCTATTTCAAATGGATTTTTTTTTTTTTTATAAAGTACCTCACCATAAGATCATCTAAAACCAATTTTGCTGTTTCGTCTTGGTTTGCTGCTGCTGCTGCTTTGTGTGTGTGTGTGAGTGTGTGTGTTTTTCTTTATTTTTTGAGGGAAAAGAAACTTTCATTACTTACCGGAGAAGGTCCAGAGGGAAGTGAGATTGAGAGACCTAGTTTATTACTAGGGCAAGTAAATTGCAATTAAAATATTTTATTAAAGGTCATAACTTCTTTTTTTTTTTTTTGTTATTACAATCACTGACGGAGCTAACCAAAAAAGAGCTAAACCGAAAGCTAAACCCTAGTTTTCTTTCTTTTTCTCTCGTACAAAAACATTGCACGGCTGCCCAAACTTTTCTTCTCTTCTTGGCTGAAAACACACCTAAAAATTATGCCAAAGCCTTGCTTTTATAGAGAAAAAAACCTAAAAACAAAAACTCAATTGGAATGGGTTTTGTTTCTTAAAACCAAAGCCAAATTTGACTTGGTTTTATTTGTTTCCTTGTTGACCCAATTGAGGGGAATACCGGATCAACAAATATAGGGTCGATGGATTGATTTCATATATTGTAATTAATTACATGCCACTACACTTTATGCCTGCTGATGATATGTACTGAAGCAACCATTCTTCGAATGTTGTAGGTTTTGTGTCTATAATTAACTGTGTAATGATCATTCATCATCAAAGACGGTGGCTCCTTCATATGCCAAAGGCCAACCGAGAAAAAAGGGAGCAAAAAGAAAATCAACAGATGGTACAGTCAAGGAGTTAGTAGTTAACAATTGAGGCGATAACTATAGGCCTTGCACGGCATTTGTCGTGTAGTATTTTTAAAAATAATCTAATTGAAAGTTATAATTAATTAATAACTCCAGAAATAGTTAAAGATTATGAAGAGCTGACCTTTTGTAAAAATTAAATATAACTTTATATATATATAACTAGCCTCGTCCACTTGTTTTAATTTGGTAATCCAAATTTCAGATTTCAACTTTAGTTGACAATATTAACGAGAGAATAAATACATCCACCTACTGCCTTCCCGGATCACCACCCACCGTCGGCAAACCACTACCACCCGACCAAATTTTGACGAGTTAGCCTAAATCCGGTCGGACGGTTGCTAATCGACAACTAAATTCTTAAGGGACTTGAGAGATACCAAGGTCCTCTGGCTGGCTTGAGAGCCCCTTAAAGGTATTCATAGTTAACCTTCCACCATTTATGTCATGTCATATATCTCGATCATTAATAAGCAGTCAGCCCCTCCAATTCCGAGTGATTGATTTCATCACTGTCGATTGATGGTGGTGTGGCCGACGATCGCAGTGGATGATAGTTAGGCGGTGACCATGGGTGATATGATGTTGATAAATTAATTAATTTTGTATTCAAAAAACGTAACTATTCATATAAAATTTTAAAGTTGCATTTAAAATACCTTTTAAATTACTCTGGTCGTCCCAAAAATTTTTTGGACTATGTTTCAGATATCCTAATTTCAGATATCATCATCCATAGACAATATTAACCAATAAACAAATACAATCCTAGGTATTAGCTGCACTATATAATAATTATATAATAGTATAACAAATTGATCAGCGGTCCCACATATTCTTCACCAATAACCTTGCTAGCGACTTGTTACGAAAAAAAAACCTAGCTAGCGACGTACTTATAAATTAATGAATCGTTCAGCACGCATAGAGAAATGGATTCACATAGAAATAGTAAAGGAAGCCAAAAGTTAATTTGAATTTTCAGTATAATTTGTAAAAGAAGCCAAAAAGTCACAATCATTGCCGAACGAAAAATAGTTTAACATTTTATGGATATCTCTTGATCAGTTGTTCGCGACGTGCTTATAAATTAATGAATGGTTCAGCATGAATTTATAAGCCCGCAGAGAGAAATGGATTTACAGAGAAATGGTGATGCTAATAATGAGCTACTTTCAGCTCAAGCTCACATATGGAATTCAACCTTCAGTTCATCAACTCAATGTCACTAAAATGTGCGGTTCAATTAGGAATTCCAGACATTATTCATCAACATGTCAATCAATATCATCAACCCATGACCCTTCATCACTTAGTCAATGCCCTCCCAATAAACCCAGCAAAATCCCAATTCATCCATCGCCTAATGCGGATTCTGACCCATACGGGTTTCTTTCAAAAGGAGAAGATAGGAGAAGAAGAAGGCTATTCTCTTACTCCGTCATCTAAACTCCTGTTGAAAGACAACCCTTTATGTCAGACGCCATTTTTGATGTTAAACCTTGATCCAGTCTCCATGAATCCATGGCATCACTTAAGCCAATGGCTTCAAGAGAATAGCAACGTCGATGGTAGCACGGCCTTCGTCACGTGTCACGGAAAAAGTCCGTGGGAGCTCTCAGGGAATGAACCGCGGTTGAACCAGCTTTTCAACGAGGCAATGATATGCGATTCTCGGCTGGTTTCAAAATTGGTGATCGAAAACTGTGGAGATGTTTTCTTAGGGTTGAATTCGATGGTGGATGTTGCTGGCGGATCTGGAACTATGGCTAAGGCCATGATTGATGCTTTTCCAGGCTTGAAGATTATTGTCTTGGATCTTCCTTATGTGGTTGATGGCTTGAAAAGTTGTGACAATTTGGCCTTCATTGGAGGGAATATGTTTGAAGCCATTCCTCCGGCTGATGCAATTTTTCTGAAGGTAAACTAATGGTTGTCTCTTATTCTCTTGAGTTTCTTATGGGGAGTAGTTTGCAGGGTCATAAATTGAATAGTACTCCTCCCTATTGTCCATTTTGCATTTTCAAATTTAGTACAATTTAAACTAGGAATAAAAATTCAAACTGGACAACAATTTTAGGACGGAGATAGTGTGTTAAAGAGATTCTACTTTTGAACCCTCAGCATAAGGATTTTAACATGGAGATTATAATTTAAAAGTCACATTTGTATGAATTATTAGAGGCTTTGGAGTGAAAATTTGTTGTTACGGAGATTCCTAGCTCCATCTCGTTTGACTAGTGGTTGTTTAAAGAAAGAATAAAAAAAATGAGGCCATGTTCAAGGACCACTTCCAACAATTACGTACCCGAACTGAGCATTCAGTAAGGAACAAGAATAGTTAAATTCATGATAATGGGGTAAGCACAAGTTCTTTAGTAGAAGAAGAGTTGAATGAGGCAATAGGCAAAGGAAAAGTAACTACAAGCTCGGTCAAACGTTGACCCAGAAATGGTAATCACATAGATTAGTGCTTTTTATTCAGTGCGTCATACATTAATCTTATTGGCCAATTAATTAATAGAAATTGAATGATGCAGTGGATATTGCATAATTGGGGTGACAAAGAATGTGTGCAATTACTTGAGAAATGCAAAGAGGCAATCCAAAACAAAGAAAATGGAGGCAAGGTGATAATCATTGATATGGTGGTGATGAAAGACCATCAACAAGAAAGAAACAACGGGGCTAAGATTATTGATCATGAGGCAAAAGAAACTCAACTTTTCTTTGATATGGAGATGATGGTTCTACTCGCTGGAAAAGAAAGAAATGAAGAAGAATGGGCAAAGCTCTTCTATGAAGCTGGCTTCAATCACTACAAAATCACTCCTCTGCTCGGCTTCAGATCCCTCATCGAGCTTTACTATTACTAGCCAGCTATTCATGAATTCTGGCTTCTTCTTCTTTTTTTTTTAAAAGCAATTCCATTGCAGTAAATGAAAAAAAATTAAAAAATAAAAATAAAAATCCCACCGTACTCTAAACGGGATATGATTGTTAGAACTCTCAGTCTTGCCACCAGGGTATTATGTCTGATCAATTGTGTTGTTTCCCCTGATGTGTTTCACCTTTAAAAAAAAACCGTACTTTGTTCGTGTGATATATTATGAGTTTGAAATAGTCGTCAAGTCTTACTATTGTAAGAGCTCTTGTAAGAACTCAAAAATTACAATTAACTAGGTTAGCGAGAACCATTTGCATTTCTGTTTAAAAGTAACACATAAGAAGCAGCTCTAGTCTGAGCCAGATATGCATTGCAGAAAGCCAGAAATCCTCTAAGCTTCAATTACTTTTAACACTTGTACAATTTGTTGCCGTCCTTTTTTTGCTAAAAAAAAAATTATTTTGATGGGTTTTGTAATTTTAATGAGTTTAGACAAACATATCTTCCATATTTCTGTTGGACTGATTTTTGACAAATCTGGTCCACATGAGAATGGCCGATCGCAGCACTTTAATGGAGGAAAAATCAGTGTGAAGCCCGCCTTGGTTAAAGTTCGTGGATGCAACAGAGAGCGACGAAGCAAAATCCGAAAAGGAGTCAATGACGCCGCAGTCTATATCGAAGAAGGATGCAACAGGAATCCTTGCGAAATTCGACTTCTGTTGCAACCTAGTTAGGGGTGGCGGAATCAGTTAAAAAGGTATGAAGGAGGCACCGGGAAGGACACAACTCATTATCCAAGAATCAGAAATCATATTTTCCTTTATAGCTCTGTTCTTTGCAATTTTAAGCTTTTATGTGTTTCTTTATGTTTCAGCTTTAAACATTATCATCATTTTGGCGATTCAGGCTATTCAAAACCGATTTGTTTTCATTCAATCAATAAAGCAGGCTCTTGCAAGCCGTTTTATCCATTTCTTAGAATTTCTCATTATTTGGTTGAGTGCCAATTCAAAGGCATGATCCTGTTTAGGACAGTTTCAGCGTTTGGTTTACGCACTTTCAGAATATCACGCAGTCGCTTGAAATTAGTTTGAGCCGAATCGGTTTCCACTATAAAATACAATTTTGACTAAAACATAAAATTTTGCACGCCCAGTTGGGACTGATTTGTGTGTTCCAGGCATTGTTTAAGCAGAAAAAACGATGTCAGTACATCAGTCATCAGCAACAGCACATTTGGCAGGACAGGGCTCTATACCGAATCAGACTTCTGCATCAGGTGAGAGTTCCTTGCTGATGAATACGCTTCCTAGTATTTCGGCAGTGGATTCCTATTCCACAGTGATAACAGATCAGTCCACTGGGATAGGGTGACAATCTAGCCAGCAACAGTCCAATGTCGGATCAAGTCTGTTTGGAGAAAGATCGAGATATCTTAGGTCCTATAGAAGTCCAAGGTTTCAAACTCCAACCTTTCAGAGCCTGTTGTTTCAGGTTCCTGTGTTCATTAGCCAGGGCCAAATGAGTCGTGTTCCAGTGATAACCCGTGAGATGTTGCATCAACAATTTTCAAAAATAGAGCATGTTGTGGCCACATAAGTGGAGCATTTTGAAAATGCTTTTCAGAGGCTAACTGACCATAATGCAAACACTGGAAGTGCTTGACCTAGTAGATCTATGACATCAGGAGTTAATACGGCTACAGAAGTAGCGAGTTCAGAGGTGCCACAAGTCAGTATGGTTAATAATCCTTTATATCGTGCCATATTTCAGACATCTGCAATAGATACTCCGGTGCAGAATCTCGGAGCAGGACCAAGTAACAATGGATCTCACAATGCAGCATTACAAGGAATACAAAGTTGGTATTACCCAGTTGTTCTGAGTCAGCCAGCTTTTGAGTCACCACCATGGAATTTTACCTTTGATGGACGGCAGTTGCCTCCATTGTCCCCTCAATATGGAACACCAGTGATGATGCTTGGAACGTCATGGGGACAACAATCACCCTATCAAGGATTCTAGGCGTCATGGCCGGTGACTCTGGGAATGCAACAGGTAGGAGATGCAACAAGTAATACTGTTGCAAGCAATGCGCAAGAGACAAATCAATTCCAGTTGCAAAATGCTACATTTCCACAACAAGTTTTACCAATGCAACATCAACAAGGATTAGCAGTGGTTCTACGGCAACTGAGTGGACAAGAAGATGTGCCTAGACTAACATACATACCACAGGGAACAACAGAAGTAGGTGTTCAAGGAACTATGAGTGTAACAATTAATAAAGGCCCTGTTGGTACGGGAATCAATCAAGGTGCTGTTGGTGAAAATGCAAGGCAGGCTGGTCAACAAATACAAGCGACTAATGACCGCCCCTTTATATTATATCAGAACCGAGTACCAGGAAATAATACTGCAGCTGCAAATTTGGATAATCCACACATACCTCAAGGCTCTGGTGTTGTGGTTGCTGATCCGCAAATTGTTCTACCTCATCACACATTGGAAGAGAATAGAGAGGAACAACAGTGGATGGAATACGAAGCTGATTAGATTTTGAACCGAAATAGGGTGCAAGCTATTGGAAGACATATTGGAAATCAGAATTTGGGAAATAGACACAACCCACGTCACCAACGTTTATGGGGCCAAGGAGGTTGTCGTCATTGGGTTGATCATGGTAACAAAGTTCGACAAGAATCGGTAGCAGCAACGAACGATAATCAGCAACAGAATTTTGAGACAGGTGTTGATCAAACTTTAAACGGTGAGAATTTGTTTTCAAGTATGATAGAATACAAGATCCATAAAAAGCTAGACACAGAAATTCCAGAGATTCCAGGAAAGCCATATCCTGACTATGTTGAATGGGAGCCATTGCCAAGGAACTTTAAGATTCCCGATTTTCAGTAATTTTTAGGAGAGGATGAGAAGAGACCTGAAGACCATATAAGTCTGTTTGAATTGCAATGCGGGTCAGTAAGCAACAATACTTTAATCAAGTTGCGTTTGTTCCCCTATTCTCTAAAAGGGACCACTTTTGACTGGTATCGATCATTAGTACCAGGTTCTATTCTGTCAGGGGAAACACAGCAGCGAGAGTTCTTGTCCTACTTCCGTAGCGATACCACCACACGATTGTCAATCGTTGATCTCTCACAAATTCGACAGAAGTTTGGAGAAGCTGCGAAAGCTTATTTGATACGCTTTTGTCAAATGTATCCTAATATCCTTGATAAGTATGATGAGCCAACTATTGTCAAAATGGCAATTGCCGGAATTCAGGATTACAAAGTCAAGTTAGCTTTCGCACCACATTCTGTTCAATCCTTGAATCATTTGGCAGATATTATAAGAAGATGTGAGAAAGTCATTAAAGATAAAAGGGAGAAGAACCCGGGAAAGACGAAGCAATGGTCCAACAAAGCTCTAGTAGCATAAGTGAATCAAAGTCAATGGGTTCTTGATGAGGACGACGATGAATATAAGGTTAATGTTGCTGAAATCGTCAATGTCCGTAACTACACGTATGACGGATTACGTCGCCCTACAATCCCACATTCTTATAATACTCCCCCACCGGTAGGCATCCCAGGGCATGCTGACGGAGCTAACGCTGGTAGAGTATATTCTTTCGATATATCACAACAAGAGGCCATCTTTGATGACATGTTGCAGAAAGGCCATATTCAGTACATAAGGGGATATAGACAACCAAAGCCAGCAGATCTAGTTGGAAAGACGTATTGTAAATACCACATGTCATGGACTTACACCATAAACGACTGTGTGGTGTTTCGGAATAAACTTCAAAAGATGATTGATGATGGCAATGTGGTAGTAGAAGATCCAGTGATATGCTTTTATATTACCTATTTATTACATCCCTAATTTGTGATTTTTGCAATATATTTTGAGTACAAATATGCTATTTATATGATTTTATCTTTATTTGTAGGTTTTGTACTCAAATGGAAGAATTGTTGAGGTTTTGGACTAAATTGAAAAGAAAAAGCAACTCAAAGGGAGAATTGAAGATTTGATAACTTGACAAGAAAGAAATTGAAACACTTGAAGAGTTGGAGGAGTTTTAATTTAAATTGACTTGAAAAAAAAAATAACTTTCTTATTCCTGAAGAAATAGAGTTTGACGAAAGCCTATAAAAGGAGGATTAGGTTTTATTTTTGGGGAGATTTTTAACCACAAAAACTACTTCTCCATCACCTCAGCCCCCCACCTCTGCCGACCATCACCTTAATCATCATCCACCACACCTCCACGCACCAAACCCTTTCTCCACCTACCAACTCCGCCGACCTCCATCACCTCACCACCACCTTGAGCCTACGCCCAAAACTTCAACCACCAAACCCCACGCCTCCATCACCCCAACTCCTCGACAAAATTTCCACACCTCCACCATCATAAACCCATGCTACCAGCACCATCATCGCCAAGAGAACCAACATTGGATCAATTTTCGTACTCAACTTTTGGCCTACTTCTCTCGGGTTTCATTTTTTTATTTATTTTTGAGATGATGTGTAGCTAAATTATTTAATCTAGGGTTTTGAGTGTAGCCGTCGTACTATTTAATTTAATTTAATTCATTATTGTGACTTTTTCATTAGTTGATATTTAATATTCTTCTTTTATTCCATGTGAGTATTTGATTACAAGTTACATTCTTTAAAGGTGTTTAACTGAAGGAACGACAGTTGAAGGTTAGCACTAGATCATGAGAATATTAAACTTAGATAGTGGGCCACGATAGTAGGAACACCGTCTTTGCAGCTATAGATTCTAGGGTTTTTAATATACTCTATTTAAATCCTATAGTCACGACAGTAGTCATAGGGTTAGTCTGTGTAAAAGAATTATAACACGACACTGAATATTTCTTAAATAGGTGAATCGTTGTAAGATTAATGAAAGTCCAAAGTCGCATATCTATAGGTTGAGTTAAATTGAATAGTCGGTTGGTGAACCCTTTGCCCTAGGTTTTTCTTTTACTTATTTATATATTTAAATAATTACAATTGTTGGTTTTAGGTTTAGAATAGTTTAAAATTGATAAATTGTTAATCTAAATAATAATAAGAAATAGTTTTAACCTGGTACTTGAGAACCTTCTTTGTGGGATCGACCCTACTTGCTACTTTACTACTAGTAATTGTATTAAGTAGGTAATTAATATTTGACTAGTATGACGACGGCTTTTCAAATTTGGCGCCGTTGCCGGGGAAGGCATAACGAATGTCAAAACTAGATTATTTCTTTTATTAATTTAGATTTGTATATAGTTTCCTTTGTTTTATTAATTTATTATTATCATTTTTATTTTTATTTTTATTCTCTTTTCTTTCTTGTGTCAATATTTTTGTAGGATATTTGAGCTATTATGGAAAATTTTAACTATAGATATGGAGAGACTCCGTATTATGGTTATGATTCTGAATATGGATACTGTCCTACATATCAAGAAGATCCGTACTCCTGGAACAATTCGTTTTCTGATCCTTACTATGGTTGTGATTATCAAGGGTATTTATTTGATTCTGGGTACAATTCTGGTTTTGAGAGCGCGTAATGAGTCCTAAGATGTTGTCATGTTCGGAGAGAATTGATAAATTGATGCATGACATCGAGAAGAAAAATGCTTCGTATTTCTCTCAAGAGGATTATTACCACTCAAATACATCAGTATATCAATTACCACCTCCTCAACCCACTCTAAGAAAGTTAGCAGCTCGTCAACCTACTCTAAGAGAGTTAGCAGCTCGTCAACCTACTCTGAGAGAGCTAGCAGCCTTACAGTCATCACCTTGTCAACCCAGTTTGAGACAGTTAGGATCTTCGTATCAGCAGCCACCAACTCAACTTCAACTTAGTGTTAGAGAGGCAGCTCTTCGAGATTTTCAAAGTGAAAAAGGTCAACAACTTATCGAAGAGGTCAATCAATATAAGATGAGTGTGGGGTTACCGGAATATGATCCTATAGGAAATTTGCTTAAATTGAATAAGAATGAGAAGATTTCTGAAGATGATTCATTGGTCCAGTCTCCCCATCCACCATCTCAAACTGAGCTTGAATGTGAAGAATTAGAAGAGAACGAAATGATTACAAGTCTAGATATTACAACTTTTCCTGATTCTTCTGGTATATACATAGTAGTTAAGCATGATTCGCTCATTCTGAGAGTTGGTGACAAGGATGTGGATCAAGTTAATTTGATGAGAATAACATTCCCATAGTTTCAAAAGAAGGGTTTGAAGTAGACACATATGGTGAGGTTGTCCATAGTATAAGAGATAGTGTGGATGATGTGAAAGTTGATTCAATGAAAGACCAAGGAGAGGATCAATGGTACAAGATTGAATTTGAGAAAGAGGATGTTGTAGTGTTGGAGTATAAGTTTATATTTTCTCATGGAAAGGAGAACCACTACAAGAGATTCATTGTTGCTGCTGAACATGGTTTCTTCTGGTATCGAGATGGGTACTCTGACAGATCAGTCCTAGAGTCCGGCTAAAGACTTTAAAACAGCGCTTATTGGGAGGCAACCCAATATTTTATTTTACTTTATTTTATTTTATTTTTTATGAATAAGTGATGGTTGAGTTTTTTGTTCCTGATTATTTGGAAATCTTTGATTTCTAAATTTTCATGGTTTTTCTTAATCATTTACCTGATAAAATTTACCTTTGTTTTTATTTATGTGTGGCAGCTACTCTCTATAATAAATGGTGATGGAAAATTCTTGGATGGTTATGTAACAGATCTCTTTATTCTTCAACTTCAACAATTTCCGTTTTTCGCTTCACATTCCCAAGGTTGTGTCGTTTCTTTTCATTCTTGTTTTTTATGTCTTTTCTTTTCTTTTCACTTGGTTTTCTTGTCTTTTGTGTTTTATACATTGAGGGAATATTTTGAAAGAAGTGCTCTGGCCCACCTGGCTGGCCAACCCGGTCCTTGTTCGCAAACCTGACAATTCTTGGCGCATGTGCCAAGATTACACTGATCTAAACAAACACTGCCCAAAAGAATGCTACCCCTTGCCCGTAATTGACCAAATGGTGGAGGGTATTACCGGTTACAGGATTCTTAGCTTCCTCGATGTGTATAAAGGATACCATCAGATTCATATGGCTGGGGAGGATGCTGAGAAAACGGCTTACATCACAGAGATTGGAGTGTATTGTTACGATAAAATGCCGTTTGGGTTGAAAAACACTGGGGCCACATACCAGCGTTTGGTTAATAGGGCTTTCCACAGTCAAATCGGAAGGAACATCGAGATATACATGGATGACATGGTTATCAAGAGCAACTTGGACAGCAGGGTGGTTGAGGACATGCAGGAGATCTTCACAATCCTGTGTGGAATTAACATGAAACTCAATCCAAAGAAATGCGCCTTTTGTGTGGGTTCTGGGAAATTCCTCGGATTTCAAGTGTCAAAGGACAGATAAGCGTGGATCCTTCAAAAGTCGAAGCAATTCTTTCGATGGAAGCCCCGAAAACCATCAAGGATGTACAGAAACTCACAGGATCTCTAGCAGCGCTTAACAGGTTTTTGTCTCGAGCAGCAGAGAGATGTCTCCCCTTCTTCAAGACTCTAAGAAAAGGGAGGGGCTTCCAATAGACCGAAGAATGTCAAAAAGCCTTCCAAGAGTTAAAGGAACATCTCAAGCAACTCCCTATGTTGCAAAACCACAGCCAGGGGATGTTCTATATATATATTTAGCCGCCTGAGAAACGGCCATATCCGTGGTGCTGATTCAGAAAAAAGACAACAGAGAGCTCCCTATATACTTTGTAAGCAAAGTCCTGCAAGGGGCAGAGCCTCGGTATACCCCTATGGAAAAGCTTATCTTAAGCCTCGTGCTCGCTGCCCGACGGTTGCGTCCTTACTTTCAAGCTCACCCCATACAAGCCTTGACCGAGCAACCTATCTAGCAAGTCCTCCTCAAACCGGAAGTTTTAGGCAAAATGATGAAATGGGCGGTCGAGCTGGGGGAACACCATATCGAGTACAAGCCCCGCACGGCCATAAAAGGGTAGGCATTCACAGATTTCCTAGTGGAAATGCCCAGAGCCCCAGGAACCATGCAGGAATCAACGCCGAAGAAGCAACTACAGAAACACCCCCCGACAGATCCTCGAGCCTGGACTCTGTACGTCGACGGCTCTTCTTGTGAAGACGAGGGAGGAGCAGGTATCATCTTATCAAAGCCAGCGGCCCCTCGAGAAGTCGAGGAAGTCAAGGAATGCGATGCAGAATATTCCTACGCTCTACGGTTTGGTTTCCCGGTTACCAACAATGTCGCTGAATACGAGGCAATGATTACGGGGTTAATTATGGCCCTTAAGTTAGGAGTTCGAAACTTGCAAGTTTTTAGCGATTCTCAAGTTGTGGTTAAGCAAATCAAGGGTGAATACACAGTCCGTGAAGAACAACTCCAACAATATCTCGAGAAAAGTCCGGGAAATCAAAGACAAGTTTGAAGAATGCACCATCTCTCACGTCCTCAGAACCAGCAACAAAAGAGCCGACACACTGAGTAAGCTCGCTTCATCCAATTTCGCTAATCTCAGTCATAAAGTGTTGGTTGAGATGCTCCCAGAACCCAGCATCCACCCTAAAGTCTCCCTGGCTATTACCGAAGATAAGGATACATGGATGACTTCTTTCATCCGATTCCTCAAGAATGGAATGCTCCCCGATAGCAAACAGGAAGCTCAAGCGTTGAAGCTAAAAGCAGTCAAATATACTCTTAAAGATGGAAAAGCAGTCAAATTCTCTTACTGTTCAATCTGCTTGGGACAAGATTGAAAAGATTTTTCGTGATCATGTTGAGTCTAGAATCGTTCATCTTTGTAGGAATTTTATCATTGTGAAAAGGGTGATCTCTCTATGTCTGCTTTCTTAGATCGTCTGAAAGAATTGTATGCTTGTTTGGTCTCTATCGGTGATTCAATAACCTATCGTGATGTTGTCATGCAAGTTGTTATGGGCTTGGGTCCTGAGTATAATGCAGCCACTTCTCAGATTTCCGCTCAAAAGCCACTTTCGACTTTTGATGAGTGTCTTTCGCGGCTTCTGCTTGAAGAAGCCAAATTGGCGAAACAACATTAGAGAGCCACGTTGGGTTCGGCTTCTTCCCAAGTCCTTGTTGCTCAGCCGGTTTCTTCGTCGTATGTTACGTCTATTCCTTCTCATGCTGTCTATGCCGCAGCTCCTTTTCAGTCTTCTTCGTCATCTGGAGGACGACGTGGAGGTGGTCATCATGGAGGAGGTCGTCGTGGAGGTGATCGTGTAGGATGGCAGCAACCGGGCTTTCGTCCGAATCCTGCTGCTTCTTTGATTCTTAGTGCACCTCCCCCTTATGGGAGTCCCGCGCCTGGACTTCCTCAATTCCAGCATTCTATCCAATGCTACAACTGCCGTGGTTATGGCCATGTTGCCCGGTTATGCCCTTCTGTTGTTATGAACGCAAGTCACTCTACTCCGCGTTTACTGCATATCCGGCTTCCTCTCAATCTGCTACTCCATGGCACTTTGACTCCACTGCAGGCGCAACTATGACGAATGACTCTGGCAAGCTTACCAATTTATCACCGTATTATGGTCCTGATAAAGTGTGTGTTGGCAATGGTGCTTTGCTTCCTATTGAATCCCTTGATACTTCCAATATATCCACTTCTAGTTGTTCTTTAGCTCTTAATAATGTTCTTTATGTTCCATCTAATACTGCAATTAATTTCTGTTCGCCGTTTCACTGCTGATAATCATTGTTCTGTAGAATTTGACCCCTTTGGTTTTTCTGTTAAGGATCTCACAACGAAGACGCAACTTCTTCGGTGCAATAGTTCTGGACCTCTCTATCCTTTCGTTGATTGCCCTACCTCCTCTTCGGTCCCTGCCTTAGCTGCTCATCGGTCCACTTCCCAAATCTGGCATTGTCGATTAGGTCACCCTAGCCAGCGTGTTTTGGCCAATTTAATAAATGCTTCTCTTATTTCTTGTCCTAGTCCTACTTTAGATTTGTGTCATGCTTGTCAATTAGGGAAACATGTACGTTTACCCTTTGAGTCGTCTTTGTCTCGGGCTACTGCGCCTTTTGAGCTTCTTCATTCTGATGTGTGGTTTTCTCCAGTTGTCTCTCCTACTGGATATAAATATTTTGTTACACTCTTGGATGATTATACCATTATTCTTGGGTGTTTCCTCTTCGCTCCAAATCTGATGTTTTCTCTTGATTTCGTAACCTTTATGCTCATGTCCAAACTCAATATAATGCCGTCATTCGTAATTTTCAATGTGATCAAGGAGGTGAATATGAAAATAATTCCTTTTTGCAGTTCTTTCAAACTAATGGCATTCACCTCCGCTTGTCTACAACTGCTTGTTCTCAGCAAAATGGTAAAGCTGACGTCTTAATCGTACAATTGTCAATATGGTTCGAACTCTTTTATTTCCGGCTTCTATGCCTCCTCTTTTCTGGGTTGAAGCTCTTCATACTGTCACCTATCTTCTCAATCGTCTTCCCACTTCCCTCTTACAGAATAAAACTCCTTATAAAGTTCTTCACCACAAACTTCCATCATATGATCACTTGCCACTTTTGGGTGTGCATGCTACCCTAATCTTTCTCACACCACCAATCATAAGTTAGCCCCCCGTTCTACTTTGTGTGTTTTTCTAGGTTATCCTTCCCACCACAAAGGCTATCATTGTCTTGATCTTACTACTAATAAGGTCATCATTTCTCGTCATGTTGTTTTTGACGAGAACGTCCTCCCTTTCACTTCCCTTTCTTCGTCTAGTTCCTCCTCTAACTCTTCTTTTCGTTCGCCTTCGTCACACATTCTGCCTGCTCTTTCTCCACCTACTTTTTCCTCAATCTCTTCACCTGTCCCACCTTTAGTAACTCCTTCCTCTCTTCCGACACCTCCCTCTTCAGTCGTTTCTCCTCGCTCGGAGCCTCCTCTATCTTCTCCAACTCCTTCCCCTCCCTTAGGTTCATCTCATGTTCTTTCTCATCATCCTATGGTTACTCGGGCTAGGGATGGCACTCGTAAACCCAACGTGATTTTCAATTTAGCTAGTACTATTGCTGACTCTCCTTTGCAGGTTCCCACCACATATCGCGAGGCTTGTAAGTTTGATGAATGGCAGCAAGCAATGAATGATGAGATTGCTGCCTTGTCTCGCAACAATACTTGGACTCTTGTTCCTAAACCTCCTGATGTTAATGTGGTTGGCTCGAAATGGGTGTTTCGGGTTAAAGAAAAGTCTGATGGCTCCTTGGATCGCTACAAAGCTTGTCTTGTTGCTCAGGGGTTTTCTCAACGTCCTGGTATTGATGTTGATGACACTTACAGTCCCGTGGTTCGTCCTGCCGCCATTCGGACTGTCCTCTCTCTGGCTCTTTCGCGTAACTGGCCTATTCATCAGCTTGATGTCAAAAATGCATTTCTACATGGCCTCTTGACTGAGCCTGTCTACATGAAACAACAACCCAGCTTTGTGCATCATCAGCATCCGGACTATGTGTGTAAGCTCAATCGTGCTCTTTATGGTCTCAAGCAAGCACCTCGTTCCTAGTTTCACCGGTTTGCTTCCTATATTGCTTCACACGGTTTCTGTTCTTCCAAGTCTGACTCATCTGTGTTTATTTATCGCCGTGGTGCAGATATGGTTATTCTTTTGTTATATGTTGATGATATTATTCTTACTGCCTCTTCTTCTTCCTTGTTAGCATCCATTATTGCTATTTTATGGAAGGAATTCGCTATGACTGACTTGGGTGATCTACACTACTTCTTGGTATCTCTGCTAGCTCTACTTCTGATGGTCTATTTTTGTCCCAATCTAAGTATATAGCCCATTTATTAGATCGCTGTCAGCTTTCTTCGGCGAATTTGTCCCATACACCTATTGACAGTAAGCGTAAGTTGTCTCAGACTGATGGTGATTTATTTCCCGATCCTTATGAGTACCGCAGCATTGTTGGAGCTCTTCAGTATATCACTTTTACTCGTCCTGACATTGCTTATGCGGTGCAACAAGTTTGTCTTTTCATGCACGAGCGTCGTGAACCTCATTATAAGGCCGTCAAGCGTATTCTTCGCTACTTGAAGGGTACTCTTCACTATGGCCTCACTCTCCAGCCTACTTCGCTTGATAAGCTTGTGGCTTATTCTGACGCAGACTGGGCTGGTTGTCCTGATACTCGACGTTCCACATCTGGCTACAGTGTCTTTCTGGGTGCTAATCTTGTTTCCTGGTCCTCTAAACGGCAACCTATTGTGTCTCGTTCGAGTGCTGAGGCTGAGTATCGGGCTGTTGCCAATGCAGTTGCTGAGCTTTGCTGGTTGCATTCCTTACTTTCAGAGTTGTCTCTTTCTCTGTCCACCGCCACGGTTGTTTTCTGTGATAATGTTAGTGCTATTTTCATGTCCACTAACCCTGTTCAGAATCTCCGCACGAAACATGTCGAGATTGACATTCATTTCGTCCGCGAGAAGGTGGCCCAGGGTGATATCCGTGTTCTTCATGTCCCATCTTCTCGTCAGTTTGCTGATATTATGACGAAAGGCTTACCTCATGTTTTATTTACAGATTTTCGTACCAATCTCAATGTTCGATTACCTCCAGTTCAGATTGCGGGAGGATGTTAGTGTATGCATATATTAGGGTTAGTGTAGGGGTATTGTTGTAATCCTACTATAATCATGTACACTATATATATGTTAAATCAACACAGAATGACTAATGGGTTTTCACACATCTTCATAAATATCTTTCACATTTTAATTACTAATTGTTACAATCAGATTATTGTTTTAGGCTGAAGAAGTACATCCATTCGTCGTAAGGATTTTGGAACCAAATTGTGAATTTTCGGTTGGCTATGTTTGTAAAGTAATAGAATATTTCATTTTCCCTATTTTATAATTTCTGTTTAAATTTTATGGGATTATATTTATTGCGTCCAGATTTTAACTACGGCTAATTATATGTCACTTTATCAAAAATAACTTCGAAGCAAGGAATAAAGATCATGATAAACGATGAAAATGGTAATATATGAATCCAAGACTACGAAGGTAGAGTAAAAGAAGTATTGCAAGACATTAATTATTCAATTCGAAGTTGATCATTTTTCGTTTTTTATTTTTCTTTTTTGAATTTTTTAACAATACTCTTTGTGTTAACTAAATTACCGCCGTATTCATTTACCAAAATGTTATTGATGTTTGTGTTTTATATTTTTAAATGAATTTATTATACATTTAATAGTTAACATTTTTGAAAAATACAAAATCTATAAAAATATTAATATTCTTTTGCTTCGTTTGTATTGTAATCTCTATATGTATATGCCCTCCCCGTCCATCGGACGCTCTAACACCTAGTATACAATAATTAAATGATTAACTAAGTTAAGTACTACGTTAATAAACACGTTGGAATCCTGGCATAACAAAATGATGATCAAATACAAGTGACAACTGAGCTTTAAATATGTAATCGAGAAAATTCCAAAGTCCAAGAGCGTCACGTCATGTGCAAATGAACCTGCACCAGCGGTCAACAAATTATAATAAACACCAAGGAGGTAGTCTGTATCAAAAGTAGGGTCTTTCTTACGTAAAACTTGATTTGTTTTGTTTTGTTTGTTAGTTTGTTTGTGTTTCAACCTTAGCTAATTCACAAAGGCCAGCGAAAAATCTGCAGCAATGGCTTCGATTAATTAATTAATGAATACTACTGAGTGTAGCATAACACCTTGCTGATGAATGATGAATATTGAAATCCAATTTGGTGGTCTATCTATAGGGGTAATAAGATTAATAAATGAACAAAGACCAATTAGTTACTGCATTAATAATTGAATTGAGACATCAATAATTGCCAATGTGTACATTGAGTTGCCGGCTTGCGGATCAGAGTTGAAAATTGTCCAGAAGAATAAAATATATATATCAAATTCAATACACCTCATTGATTCCCTTTTTGGTTATCTACTATTCCATATTTCTTCTGTTTCCCAAAAGCCTAATCTGAAACCGCTCGCAGGATAATTGAATTGTTTAAAAAAGGTCCGCTACTTCATTCTATGCATCAAATGGTGCTTAGTTTCATGAAATGGCCTGCTAATGTCTAGTAGGATTGTTACTTTGAATGGAACCAAAAGAAAAACTCCAAAATGAATAATATGTTAGTACAAAATAGAACAATTTCATGAATCTGTGCCATTGTTTTTACTTCCTTGCACGTGATGCAGCTTTGAACTCCTCCCGACATCCATCTCCGTCTTTCTTTCATTCTCATTTTTTAAGGTCGACACATGCAGTGTAAACCTTTTCTTATGCTTTATTACTCGATGCCTCAGAATAATTATCTACTACTATAATTTTATTCATAATAATGCAAGCTGTATTACCTATTGTTTTTTTTTTTTTTTATAAAAAAGGAATTTTAAATTTGACAGTTATTTTAAAATAGAGAATAATGGAGGAAGCGCAAGTGAAAAGATGAAATCAAAATGGGCATTGAATCACATATAAATGTGTGTGTAGACTGTTCTGATTGGTTCATCCAATCCCATCAGTTTTAGTCTTGTTCATAATCATCTTCTTCTTCTTGTTCACCGACACTTATGTAGTTTGTTTCCCTGTTTTTTTTTTCTTTGAAGAGGGCTTTTCCGTTTAGCTTCCTCATCAACTTGTCCAAAAGTCTTTCCTTTGGAATCAAAAGGGTCTCTCTCTGTTGCTTTCTGCGCCAATCTCTCTTCAAAAAAAGAAAAAAAAAAAAGCAATTAATATGGCCTCCACCCTCATTACTCGCATTGATACTGCTCTAGATGATCTACAGTTCGCGATTGACGCAGGGGAGGGAGTTTTCGGTTCAGAATATGAATTATTGTCAACTTCTCTGCGGAATATTAAAATATTTCTTCTATCATTCAGGAAGTTGGTCAACCATGATCCAAAGCTCCAATCCTTGCTGCAGACGATGGAAGTTGCTGTTTGTAAACTTGCAGACATAATTCACGTTGTACGTGTTCAGATGGAGGGTAAGACGAACCTCGATGAGCTTCCGGCCGCTGCTTCTACTGAAGAATGGGAACAAACCATGGAACAGATCATATCTTTGGAAGAACCAATCGATCAATTCTACAACACTCTGTTGGATACCCTGAGGCAATCTCCAGCAAACTCTGTTGCAGCAGATGAGATTGATGATCTCTTTGACTCTGTACTGAAGAATCTGCAGCTGTTCCACACTTTTGAGTGGGTAAGTAGCTGTGAGATGCTGAGAGAACCAATGAAAGCCTTGGGGGAGCAGATGAAATTCTTGAGAAATCTCAGCGCCTTTGCCTCAGAGTCAGCTCATTCCAAAGCCAAACAAGATATGTTTGCTCAAACCGAAGCGATTTATATTCGTGCCGGATACATCATTTTCAAGTGTTATTCTGAGATGGGCACTGAAACTATTTGCAGAGAAATGTTTCCCATGATCTGGATGCTGGTTGAAGATATCGTGCCTATCCATCCTTCGGTCAATCATACTTACACTGAGCTCCTGCTTAGCTCAAAGTCAGGCAGAAGAAGTTTACCTCTTGCTGATCCTGCCGCTGTTGGAGACAATCCAGCCAAGGAATTCCTTGATTCTCTCCTCTCTTATCTTTCGGTGATGCCATACCTTCATTCTCCTGACTTGAGATCGATGATGGATCAATTCAGGGAGCTTTATGAAGGACTTGGGTCCTTGTTATTCATTCTCGCCCAGCCGCCAAACAACTTTGATCTGAAGATGAAGGATGCAATTTTTGATGTGATATATGATGCCGGAGTCTTCATTTGCTCACTGTACCAGACACGCCCGCAGGTACAGCTACAACAGGGGATTCAGGATTTGTTGAAAGCAATCAGGCTTATAACTCTGGGAGAGCAGCTTGGGGGTGAGAAAGGTGCGCCAGAACCACTGTTCAACAACATTCCAACCACTGCTCCGCTGTCTTTTGTTGATTTTTTAGTGGAAAAGCTGACGGATCTCACCAGTGGTGAAGCTGAAACAAATTCAAGGGGACATGCCCAAACTATTAAAGATGAACTTGTCTACTTGAGATCTTTCTTGAGAGATATTGTGGAGTTGCGCCGTCAAAAGGAGCACCTCCAAGCTTTATGGGATCATGTTTTGGAGCTGGTGTGCAGGATAGAGCGTCTCCTCGACTTCCTACTAGCCAATGACCTTTCTGATTCTTTCCTTTCATCCTTCGATTCCATCATGAAAGACATCGAGAATGTTAAGATGGAAATCCAACTCCAGAAATTAGAAACCCAAATGGAGGGAGTAACATTGAGTCAACAATCTCATGTGCCGCCATCTCAGCAGCAGTCTCCCCAACTGAAAAATGAGGTCGTCGGCTACCTTGAGGAGGCAAAATCACTTAAGAATCGCCTCATTAGAGGATCAAAGAACCTACAGACTGTTCCCATTGTGGGAATGCCAGGACAAGGTAAGACTACGTTAGCTGCAAAGATTTACAATGATCCTTCTGTTTCTCTCCATTTTTCTGTTCGTGCGCATTCTACCGTGTCACAGACAGTGGACAAAAACAGAATTCTCCTAGACCTTTTAAGCCAAATTGATCCCGAAAAATCTTGTGAATTCATTTCGGGGTATGATTTAGTGGAGAAAGTGTGGCGCCATTTAAAAGGACGGAGATATCTCATCTTTTTAGATGACGTATGGGAAGCTGAAGCATGGAGTAATTTGAAAGAAGCTTTCCCTGATGATCAGATGGGGAGTAGAATTATGGTGACAAGTCGTCGACATGATGTTGTTCCCAACGAAGAACCTCACATACTTAGACCATTCACGGAAGAAGAGGGCATGGAGTTGTTACAAAGAAAGTTATTTGGTGGGAGTTGCTGGCCCCCTGAATTAGTTGATATTGGGACGAAAATTGTCCAAATCTGTAAGGGGCTACCTCTAACAATTCTTATTGTAGGTGGAATTTTAGCAAACACATCGCGAGATGGTTGGGAGACGATTCTAGGTGGTCTAAGATCAGGCATGGTCTCGAGTGCAGAACAGTGCCGACACACGTTGGAGTTGAGCTACAGCTCCTTACCGGAGCATTTGAGGCCTTGCTTTCTCTATTTTGCAGCATTTGCAGAAGATAGTGTGGTTCCTGTCCAGAGGTTGCTTCGCCTATGGATAGCTGAAGGATTTGTTCGGAAATCTGAGACGAAGCGCATTGAAGATGTAGCTGAAGACTACCTAAAAGATTTAATTGGTAGGAGCTTACTCATGGTCACAAAACAAAGTTCTATGGGCGGGATGAAAGCATGTCGCATTCATGACTTGCTTCATGAATTTTGTTTGCAGAGAGCAGAAAATGAACACTTTTGCTCTTTTCTAGGAGGCAACAAAAAGTTTTTGGGACTTCAGACATCGGGAAATCCTAGGAGGTTATGCATTAACTTCAATCCAAAGCATCTCCCGAGGACAAGCAATTTCTTTTGCCACCTACGTTCTATGCTGTCCAACTATCATGTCCGAGAGCCACAAGATTTATCGTACATGTTTTACATGGCCAAACTCCTAAGAGTTGTGGATTTGGGGAAAATCAATTTGGGTGATGTGATTCCAAGTGAAATAGGGCTGCTTGTGCAGCTGGCCTTCCTGGCTATTGAAGGCTATATGACGGACATCCCACCATTGATAGGTAGCCTCGCCAATCTTGAAACTCTTATTCTGAATCAATTAAGACAAGACAAGGCGCTCTCGCTTCCAGCCACTTTCTGGAATCTACAGAAATTAAGGCATCTTTCCATAGCGAGACCAGGTGGTAGTTTTCCTTTGGAAAATCCTGACACATCACCTGATTTATGTGAATTGGATAAACTTTCTGGTGTTACTATTCCTTGTCCGGGCGACATGGAAGGCTTATTGAAAAAGTTTCCAAATGTCCGTAAGTTGAAATTCACCCTTTTGGTTTCTCCTGAAGAAACAGGAGAGTATGTCAAGGTTGTGGTTCCAGAATCTTTGAGCCAACTAGAATCACTTGGTATATCACTGCCTCTCGCAGTTGAACAGCCTAACCGTAGAGAGTTTGAATTTAGTTTCTCTGCAAAATTGAAGAAGTTATCATTTGCATTCTTCTACTTGTGTCGTAGCAGTCTATCAACAATTTCCAAACTTCCAAACCTTGAAGTCCTCAAGTTTACGGCCGTAAGCTTTGAAGGAAACACGTGGGAAACGGAAGGAGGGGAATTCTCCAAACTCAGATTCTTGCAACTGTCATCAGCGGGTCTGCTCTCCTGGAGTGGTACTGAGGATCAATTTGAGTGTCTTGAGAAGTTGGCATTGCTGGGTTGTGCATACTTGGAAGAGTTGCCTTCGTGCCTTGAAAATATTCCAACTCTTACGACGATTAGGGTCGTAAATTGTTCAAAAACTGCAGAAGAATTAGTGCAAAATATCAAGAAGATACAAGAGGACAATGGAAATTCAGAGCTGGAGATCATTACTTCCCTGCTTTGATTGATTCTCTGCATCTGTTTCCGCTGGATTTGCGACAAAGTGATTATGGAGATTATGCTTCAGTATCAGACCATTGAATGTGTTTGTATTTTCGTTTTTCTCAAACTTTTGGAATCACCTGTTGTGTATGTAATTCAGTGAAAGCTTCAATTCCAGTTTAACTAATGCTAAAAAATTTTCCAATTCTAGCATTTAGTCGCAAGGCCTGTAATAATCGAACGCAAGCTCAAGTCGCATTGGACAGAATTATTGTTAAGTCACACAAGACAAAGAAATGATTCTAATCTAGCTGTTCTCGTCTCACAGGGTTATATATGCTTCCACTTTTTTTCCTTGGTTAAACTATCTGCTTACTGAACCAATCCAAAAGTTGAGATAATTTTTTTTTTTTTTAAATATAGTCTAACAACGTGTCCTAAATGACCTGTCTGCCACCCAAATCCAAATGACGATAATTTTGTGTGCATGATTCACGTTTGTATCTATAGGATAAGAAAGTCATGGAGAAAAAGGAGAAAAGATCGTATTTCCTCCGACCCAGAATAATAATTGTCAAGCTTTTTCCTACTAGGTTTAGTAATAGTAGAAAGTTACTATACTAACACTAGTGATCGAGTTGTGTGGCCGAAGCAAAAAGCTTCAAATATCAGTATTTCACCTCTCATCCAAACTTGTTTTTAGTTTGCCATATCCCTTCCAGGGGCTAGCTACTCTCTATTCAAAATCTGTCTTTTTTTCCCCATTGACTGTCATCATCATCTTCATTTCTCAGATTAATCCATTTCTGTGTGTGTATGTGAAAAAAAAATATATATATATATATATATATATTATATATATATATTTTTTTGCAGCAGCAGAAACAGCAACAAGATGGCATCCGCCTCCGACCTCATTAGCCGCATCGATTCTTCCCTAGGTGATCTGCAGGGCATGGTGAAAGCAATGGGTATGCTATAATTTTAGCATACCCATCACCTGCTGCTGCTGCTGCTGCTGAGATATGGAGTTGATCATCAGCCCTCCATGTACATACATAAAATTTCAACTTTTTTGTTTATGAATGGGTATGCTATAATTTTAGCTACGAACATTTACTTGTACAGAGTTACACGGTTTTTGAATTGCTTGCATTCCAACAGAGTGATAGGGTTATTAGCAGAATGATATTGAGAAGTATATTTGTAGCTGGGTTGATTTGTATACAGTATGAGTTGCATATAGGTGTTGTTTTTCGTTAATATGATTGTAAATTTGAAGAATTTCTAGTACGACTCTGATTGATGACTTTTGCTACGGTGGAATAAAAATTTTGTAGAAAAAGGCTCTGTCCTGTACCGTGATGTTCCATTTCAATAGTTGTTATACTGTTTTGGTACAACGTCAAATAATTTTCCAGCCCTGCTAATGTAATTGGGAAAATTGTTTACCTTCTCTAATAAAATTTAAGATCCTGTAGGAAATATATATATATATATATATATATATATATATATATATATATTTTGCAGCAGCAGCAGCAGCAGCAGAAACAGCAACAAGATGGCATCCGCCTCCGACCTCATTAGCCGCATTGATTCTTCCCTAGGTGATCTGCAGGGCATGGTGAAAGCAATGGGTCCTCTAGTAGATTCCGATCTCAACTTCATCATATTTGCGCTGACAAGTTTGAAAATATTTCTTCTTTGAGCCAAAAAACTAGGCAATGATCAGAGTGTTCTTGTACCTTTCCTGCAAAAGCTGGAAGGTGTTGTTTCCAGATTGGAAAAGTGGTTTCACATCGTACGCACCTTCTTTTCTGATGCAGATGATCACGGCCAGTTTGACGACGTTGATGATTTGGATATAGATTTTCAATCTTTGGGGGAACAAATTAGTCATTTGTATGACGCTCTCTTTGATCCCTCCAGGCAATCACAAACTCATACAGGTGTTAACGTTGGTATTATGTTTGCTTCTGCAATGAAGAATCTATGGTTGTTCCATAGTTTGGAGTGGGACGTTAACGTCAAAACTCTTGAAGAACTCATGAAAGCCTTAGAAGAGCAGATCCTGTTCCTGGAAAACCTCCGACTCTTTGCCTTTAAGTCAGCTGAGCCCGAGTCTAACACAGCTGATGAAGATTTCTTGATTCATCTTGGAGCTGTTTCTGTCAATGTTGCTTTTCTCAATCTCAGGTGTCAATCTGAAAACATCCCTGAAAAGAGTTTTTCCGAACAGGTGCTCTTGTTCGTTTCCCAGTTGGTAGAATACATCAAACCAATCCATCCTCGGGTCTATAATGCTTCCCCTGCGATCTTGAGAAGCTCAAAGTCACGGCGAAGATTACTCACTCCTGCTGATTGAGACATGGACCAAGAGGACAGTCTCGCAAAGGGGTTCATTGATTCTCTCAGGTCTAATCTCTCGGAGATGCTACTACTTCTGGAATCTGAAGATGTGGTCTCTGGAAATGATCAACTCCGGGGTGTGGTCTCTTCTATGAAAGATCAACTCCAAGAGCTTTATCAAGGCCTTGGATCCTTAACAACCATTCTCTCCCACAAGCCAACAAACGACTTTGATTTGAATGCTAAAGACCGCTTCTTTGATGTTGTATGCGATGCCGGAATCTTGATTTGTTCCTTGTACCAGACACAGATTCAACTAGGTTTCTTTGATGTTGTATGCGATGCCGGAATCTTGATTTGTTCCTTGTACCAGACACAGATTCAAATAGGTCACGATCTCCGGCATTTGTTGGAAGCAATCAGGCGTATTATTGCAGAGTTTGGGAAGAAAGCTGCATCAGGGCTGGATTTTGAGGTCCAAAAACTAGAAGCCAAAATGAAGGGAGTAACCATGGCTCATCATCATCATCATGTGCCGTCTCAAAGAACTCTCTCATCTGATAATGAGGTTGTTGGTTATGTTGAAGAGGCAGAATTAATTAAAAATCAGCTGACGGGAGGATCAAAGCAAGTACGCATTGTATCCATTGTGGGTATGCCAGGACAAGGTAAAACTACTCTGGCTGGAAGAGTTTACAATGATCCTTCTATTTTGCTACATTTCTCCGCGCGTGCATGGACATCTGTGTCACAAGTAGTGGACAAAAGTAGAGTCCTCCTTGACCTCTTAGGTCAAATTGATCCCGATAAATGTTCTGGGATCATTTTTTATCACGATTTAGTGCAGAAGGTGTGGCGCAGTTTAAAAGGAAAGAAATATCTCATCTTTTTGGATGACATATGGGAAGCTGAAGCATGGAGTAGCTTGAAAGAAGCGTTCCCGGAGGATCATACAGCAAGCAGAATTATGTTCACAAGCCGTCACCATGATGTTGCTCCCAGTGAAGAAGCTCATGAACTTCGAGCTTTCAGTGAAGAAGAGAGCATGGATTTACTACAGAGAAAGTTGTTTGGGGGAAGTAGTTGGCCCGATGAATTAGTTAATCTTGGGAGGAAAATTGCTCAAATTTGCAAGGGATTACCTCTAACAATTCTTATTGTAGCTGGCATTCTAGCAACCGTGAAGCCAAATGGTTGGAAGAAGATTCTGCGTGGTTTAGGATCAGGTACTGTCTCCAGTACAGAACAATGCAGGAACACACTAGAGCTGAGCTACAGCCATTTACCGGAGCATTTAAGGCCCTGCCTTCTCTACTTGGCGACATTTCCAGAAGATAAAGAGGTTTCTGTCAAGAGATTATTTCAACTATGGATAGCCGAAGGATTGGTTCAGAAAGATGAGACGGAACATTTTGAAGATGTTGCTGAAGAATACTTGAAACATTTGGTTGGTAGAAGTTTAATTTCAGTTGCCAAACAAAAGTCCACCGGTGGAGTGAAAGCCTGCCGCATCCATGACTTGCTTCATGAATTTTGCTTGCATAAAGCAAAAGATGAATGGTTTTTCTCTATTCTACCAGACATGGGTAAGGTTTTGGAATTTCATGCGCCAGACTGCCTTCGGAGGTTATGCATTAACTCTGATCCGAAACACCTCAGAATGTCCAATACATCCTTACAATCTGCGCGTTCTCTAAATTTCAACTATTATGTACAACGGGTGCTGCCAAATTTAACCTTCATGTTTCACATGTGCAAACTTCTCAAAGTTTTGGATTTGAAGCAACTCAATTTAGGTCTTGTATTTCCGAGTGAAATAGGACTGCTAGTGCAGTTGTCCTTCCTGGCAATTCGAGGCTGTATGCCGGACATCCCATTATCAATAGGTAAGCTCTCTAATCTGGAAACATTTATTCTAAATCATTTAGCAGAGAACAAGACTGTTTCATTGCCAGATAGTTTTTGGAATCTCCAGAAGTTGAGGTATTTTTACATGACTTGTCAAGGTGGTGTTTTCCCCATGGAGAATACTGCCAACTCATCAGATTTATGTGAGTTAGATTGGCTTTCTGGTATAGCTATTCCTTGTCATCCACACGACATGGAACGGTTACTACTGAAGTTTCCAAATATCCGGAAGTTAAAATGCACCCTTTTGAAATCTCCAAACATGCTAATAAATCATGTCAAGATTGTAGTTCCGCAGATTTTGTGCCTGCTAGAATCAGTTAGTTTATCTCTGTCCTATGATGGAGTAACTCACAGTGAGTTTAGTTTGCCTGCAAATCTCAAGAAACTCACGCTGTCAAACTTTCCGTTGTCTAGTAGCAGTCTATCAACCTTTTCTAGCTTGTCAAATCTAGAAGTCCTCAAATTTGAAGATGTGCACTTCAAAGGAAACACATGGGAAATGGAAGAAGCAGAATTTTCCAAGCTTAGAATCTTGCAATTGTCATCCTGGTGTCTATTGTCGTGGACTGCTTCTGACGATCAATTTGACCGTCTTGAGAAGCTGGTGTTGGTGAGATGTGGAAGTTTGAAAGAGGTGCCTTCTTGTCTAGACTATATTCCAACGCTTGAAGTGATCGAGCTCAGGTATTGTTCAAAGAAAGTAATGGAATTAGTGGGAAACATTAAGGAAGCACAAGAGAACTACAGAAATTCAGAGCTGAAGATCATTAATGTCAAATTAGGCTGATTTTGTTGCATCTATTTAGGCTGGATGTTGAACAAGTGATGATGGCGACCGTGGTTCCTTACTGGTACTCTTTCAGTATCAATCATTGAATGCTTTCTTTTCTTTTTTTTTTCCTTGTACTCTTTGGAGTCATTAGTTTTGATGTATTCAGAGGAAAGGCAGCATGTCTTTCCAGAAGTAATCTACAGTGCTATACCTGTCAATGGATGTTACATCTAGACTCATGGGTTGCAATAACAGAAGGCTTTTTCAGTTGGTATCTGTTCACTATTAATTGTTTCCTTGTGGATTAAAACATTAGAATCTCGATATACTTGGATGCTATAACGAGTGATTTTGCTGTCTCATTGCTTAACATATGTATGACAGTTCCATGCTGTTTTTTTCAATGTAAAAGGAGGCTTATATTCATGACTTGTTCCTAGGTTGGAAGGTTATTTTTTTATACTTCTCTCACGCATTATTTTCTGACTTATAAATTATTTTAATTTTTTCCCCCTCAGATCATCCCTCGTGGTCTATCCCAATGACCATTTTCAGTACTAATGATATTTGAAGATATAGTTCCTTTAATGGATTTGATTATTGCTGCTGCTAATTGCTCCAATCAATCAAGAATCTCTTTCCTGCAGGTTTGGATATTGGTAAGTGTAAGTCAGATTATTGCTGCTTCAAACCTAGTTTAGAAGTAAACATTAGATATCAATGCAAGGGTTGCAAAATAACATGCCAACGGCTATCTCTCACACTTCAAGTCTGTGCAGAGAAGCAGCGGAGGTTAGTTGATAAATCGTGAAAGTATGCTTCGTCTTCTCTTAAAGGTTAATATAGTTGTAGTATTTTGACCTCTTCATCTTGTTTCGGTTTTATTCCAGAAATTATGCTATTAGTCAGGCTTCTTCTAGACCTGAAAATGTGTTCAATCTGCAACGAATCTAGTTCAACATTGGGAACTGATGTTGTTCGGTCTAATGCCAGAAGTAAATGTTTTGAACCTTTCTGCATGGACATAGTTATGAAACTGGGCGGTGGCTGTGTCCTGTCAAACCCATATGACAAGCTCGATCATTGTGGCTACAGTGTCCTGTCTAGTTTTCTTATTTTTGGCTTATTTACAGTGTTGATATAGAACTTTAATTTCACAATACAAAAATATGATATGAGTTTAGTAGTTAAACTCAAAATGGTTTCATTGAGAGTCTACTTTGTGATATGCCGCCAGATATTGCTTATGCAGTGGGTGTAATGAGTCGATATACAAGTAATTCAAGTAGTGAACACTGGGAAGGTGTAAAAAGAATTCTTAGGTACCTAAAAGGCACCAAAGACTATGGGATATGCTACAAAAGCAATCCTCCTGTCTTAGAAGGATATTCAGATGCTAGTTGGATAACAAAAAAAGGATGATCACTCATCTATGAGTGGTTGGATATTTTTGTTTGGTGGTGGAGCAGTTTCTTGGGGATCTAAGAAACAAACATGTATAACAGACCCCACCATGGCTTCTGAGTTTGTGGCATCAGCATTAGCTAGCAAAGAAGCTGAATGGCTAAGGAACTTACTATATGAAGTTCCTATGTGGCCAAAACCAATTTCACTCGTGTCAATTCACTGTGATAGTTTATCGACACTGGAGAAAGCATACAACCAAGTGTATAATGGAAAATCCTGGTGTTTTGGATTAAGATATAGCTTGGTAAGGGACATGATAGCTAGTGGAGTAATCACTATAGATTATGTCAGATCAAAAGAAAATTTGGCAGACCCTGACGAAAGGACTGACAAAGGAGATGGTGTTACGAACATCAATTCAACGCTAGAAAATGCTCTAGTCTTGAATAGCGATAGTATAATATACAAATAATTGAGCACTACAATATTTATCCCAAGGTAGTTAGTGCTATATTTTTCCACTGTGTATCAGGTTGAGAATTAACTCTTAACAAACTCTTGTAAATGCCAAAATGACGGGGGTATTAAGAAGTTTGCCTAATGAATGTCGGACCGGGCATCTATAAAGCTTGGGACTTGACTTTGTTAACATTCATGAAGAGATATGGGTATAAGACCTTACGTACCACACGCTGATAATGTTAATATTAGCATAATATTTGTGGTGGTTTATGTGTTGTTTCGAATATTATCTATGCTAATATTAGTACTTTGGTTCTTAATTTGATCATAGGAAGGATTTGGAACAAAAAGAAGAAAAGTGTTGATTTTTTTAAGAGATTTTGAAGGTTTTATTGAATCAAGTTTCAAGTTCGAGAAGAAGTGGTTGATTCCCGTGTGGGCACACAAAATCCATGCCTAAATCAATGAAGGAAGCAGGAAAGTCCAGAAACGACGTTGTATTCCCACGTGGGCACGCTGAAACAGGGACTAAAGTGCAAAATTTCCAAAGATTGGGGGTTAATTTGTAATTTTGGCAAACTTTAGGGGTCAATTTGAAAATTCTGAAAACTTTAATTGGTTGCTGCGATTTCTGAACGGGCTGAACGTGGAGATGCTCGAAATTTGCATATAAATAGTCTTTTTCTTATTATTAAGAAAGGGAGGAGAAGAGGCACAACATAGGGAGCGACGGCTGGAGCTCAGGACAGGGATTCCTCTCCATTTTCGTCAGTTTTAGCTCTACAATATCAAACATCAATTCTTGTGTTGTTGATTTCACCATGATTAGCAACTAAACCTCTTTTCTTGTTAAAGGATTTTATTGAAGCCTTGATGTTATTCAATTGTGAGATCTAACTGTTTGCTTTTCACCAACGAATTTTGAGTATTTATTTATTCTCTTTGATGTGCATTGGTGACTATTTGGCATTATTTCAATAGCTGGTAGCATTCAGTTCTCTAGATAATCTAATTTATTGAACAACAAGGTTTATTTGTTCCTTAGAAGAGACAATGCAAATAATTACTTGGTAAGTAGTTTACTTGTGTTGTAAGAATAAATAATCGATTTTTAATGAAACAAGGTTTGTTTATTAGAAATTGAGTTGGGTCTTTGTTTGTCGAAAACTGAATCCTAGGAGGTTCCAGGTAGTGTTTTTGGCTATAGAGTGGTTAATGAAGGTTTCTTAATTGCTGGTAATTAATAAAAAAGACTGAGTTGTTAGGAGGTTCCAACAACGAGAACGAATATATTCATCATTTGTTGAGTTAATCTTTGCATCAATTATCAGTTGAACACATCAAGGTGGACCTTTGACTAGAATTTCTCTTATTATTGATTTTCCAAAGCTATCTTTTATTGTTAGCCGGTTATTTTTTTGTCATCCATTAGTTATAATCCAAAAATTCGTCCATTTGGTTACTTTACTTTTGATTAGAAATATTTCCACTTCCTTGCTCCTTGAGGAGACGACTCTACTCATTGCTATACTACTAAATTTGTTAGGAGTAGAATCTTTTATTTTTGTTGGTTTGACATCCACCAAATTTTGGTGCCGTTGCTGGGGAGCACGGTCTAGAGTGATTTATTTTTTGTTAAAAGTTTCTTTTTATTTTTATTCAATTTTATGGTGCGTTCTGATAATACAGAGAGATTATTGTTTGATCCTGAGATAGAAAAGACAGCTAAACAGAACCGAATGGAAAAGAGGAAAAGAGATTTACTTCTTAGTGCTACACCTGAATCTCAAGAGGACAATAGCCAAGAAGAAGAAGAAAAAGAAGAAGTTACAAGCTCTGAAAAAGGGGAAGAATTTGAAGAAGAAAGTATGGGTGACAGAACTCTGAGGGAGCTTGCGACTCCAAATGTGAACTTACAAACATTCTGCATACCCATGCCTGCAAATACTCCACGTTTTAAGCTAAAACCAGGTACACTTCAATTATTACCTAAATTTCGTGGTTTTGCAGGTAAGGATCCTCATAAGCACTTGATCGAGTTCGATTCTATGTGCTCAACGGTAACCTATCCAGGAGTCACTGAAGAGCAAATTCAGCTACGTGCTTTTCCATTCTCTTTGGAATACAAAGCCAAGCACTGGTTATATGGTTTACTAGCTGGTTCAATCACTTCATGGAATCAGTTGAAGAAGAAGTTTTTGGAGAAATTTTTTTCAGCACATCGTGTAGCAAATATTCAGAAAGATATCTGTGGAATCCGACAACTCCATGGAGTAACATTGTACGAATATTGCGAAAGATTCGAAGAGTTATGTAGGAGTCGTCCTTAACATCAAATCCCTGAACAATTACTACTTCAAAATTTCTATGAGGGGCTATCAGAGGTGGATCGAGACAAGTTAGATTCAGCCAGTGGAGGAGCTTTAATGAATAAAACACCAGCACAAGCTACCGACTTGATTTCAACCATGGCTGAAACTACTCAGCAGTTTAATAAAAGAGCAGAAACATCTACCAGACATGTCAATGAGGTAAGTATTTTAAATTTAGAAAATCAAATATCTGATTTAACCTCTTTGGTGCGTCAAATGGCTGTAGGGCAAGTACAAACTGTCAAGGCTTGTGGCATTTGCTCAAATTCTGGACACTGATGCATGCACCAAGTTACAAGATGATCCCAACGAGCAAGTTAATGCTATGGGTGGGTTTCTAGGACAAGGACAGAGGAGGTATGATCCGTATTCGAATACTTACAATCCAGGATGGAGGGATCATCCAAACTTCAGCTACAAACAGTCAAACTTCCAGCAACAATCACAACCTATCATGAGAAATTCTGCACCAACACCACCTCTGAATCAATCATCATCATCTACGTCACGTATGTCTTTAGAGGAAATGGTAAGAAGTTTAGCAACTAATGTGCATGGTCTTACACAGGCTTCACACTCTTCTCAAGCTAGCATACAGAACTTGGAGAAACAAATGTCTCAAATGGTCACCTCATTGCAAAAATTAGAGGCTAACGCAGGAAGGCTTCCTTCCCAACCAGAAGTTAATCCCAAAGAAAATGTTAGTGCAATGACGCTGAGAAGTGGGAAAGAGCTTCAAGGTCCTAAGATACAAGATGGAGTATATGAAGAAATTTCACAAGAAGTTGGGAAGGATTTAGACACCACCCCACTACCACAAAAAGAGGTAAGTTCTGAGCATGTTAAATCTAAACCAGAAATAGTGATTTCTCCACCTTTTCCTGGCAGGTTAGCAAAAGCGAAGAAGGAGGAAAGTGAGAAAGAT